ATTTTTAGTTTAAAGATTTATTTTTACATTTATATTCCCTCTTTTTACTTTTTGCTGAAAGGGAAAGTAAAATGGCGATCGGCAGACTTTCCAGCGTTTTTTTTTATTATTTTTTTTTATTTTTCCTTTTGGGAAGCTAGATTGGTGATCGGTAGGTTTTTTGGTGTTTTTCTTTCCCTTTCTCTTTTCTTTTCTTTTTAATGATTGTAATGGATGTTTTCTTCTTCTTTTTTTTTGATGAAAGTGAAAATAAAATGGCGATCGGCTTTTTTGGATTTTAGAAGCATTATTATTTTTGTTTACTTTTAAAGGCAGGCTTCCTGGTGTTTCTCTTTCCCTTTTTCTTTTTAATGATTTTTTTTTCTTGCTGAAAGGGAAAATAAGATAGCGATCAGTTTTTTTGGATCTTAGAGGCATTATTATTTTTGTTTAACTTTTCTGTTTTGTTTTTTGTATTTTTTAAAAAAAATGGAATGGATTTCTTTTTATTTAATTCCTTTTCTTTCCTTTTTTTCTCCCTTTTTTATTATAATGATCTCCCTTTGAAGGATTTATTGTTTTTTTTTCTGGAGTTAATCTTTCTTTTTCTTTTGTTTAATTTTTGTGGCCCCAAAGTGTTTAGTATTTTTTTTTTTTTTTTTGCTATAATGACCTCCTTTTGAAGGATTTTTTGAAATTTTTTTTTGGATTTAATCTCTCTTTTTCTTTTGTTTAATTTTTGTAATTCTCAAGAAGGAGTAAAGATTTTTTTTTAAGATGGCTCCAAAGCGTCCAGGGATTCATACAGCTCCCAATCAATAGCCTCACCTTCTTCCTTGGCTCAGCCAATAATGGTGAAGGATCTGCAAGATATGATGGGAAATGTTATATCTCAAATTAGGGCAGAAATGAAAGAGATTTTAGAGGAAAATAATAAGATTTTGAGGCAAGATATAGTTTTGGCTTTAAAAGGAGTTGCCTCTGTTTTTGAAAAGCTGAATTCCCGTGTGGAAGAGGTAGAAGAAAAAGTGGAATTGATGGAGGAAAAATTTGAAAGTATGGAAAAAGAAATGGAAAATGAGATTCTTATGCTTCAATATGGACAAATGGAATACGCCTTAAGAATCAGAGGCTTGAGAGAGTCTTTGCAAGGAGATCTGAAAGAGATGGTTGCAAAGGACTTTGCTGTGATTTTGAATAAAGAAAAAGAGGAAATACTTAGTGAAATTGAAAAATTATTTAGAGTTAATTCTGGGGTGGCAGTGCAAAAGAATTTGCCAAGAGATGTGGTAATTTACTTTGGGAAAAGATCCCTGCGCAATGAAATTATACAAGCTTTTTATAAAAAGAGATTTCAAATTGGCTTACAAGACGTTATAATTTTAAAGGAGATCCCATCTAAAATTTTAAGAAGAAGAAAGGAGTTTGCTTTTTTAGCAGATGAACTTAAAAAGAGACGAATCTCGTTCAGATGGGATGTTCCAATTGGAATGGTGGTGAATTACCTGGGGATATGTTATAGACTTAATACTGTTTTTCAAGCAAAAGGTTTTTATACTTCGGTCCTGGGGGTATGTTCATCGCCATCTACTAAGTTTAAAGCCTTGGAAGAAAAGAATGTAGAATTATACCCTGAAGAGCCTATACTTAGGAAAATTGGGGAACCTCAGCTTGAGGGGCCTCAACAAGTTCAGATAGAGGAGCAGAAGATAACTTGTGCAACATATAACTGTAAAGAGAAGCAGCAACAGAAGAAGGTTAAGGAAGCCTCACATCTATTGGTTTCTAAACCTGCGGGAGAAGCAAGACTTATAAAGATTCGGGAGCAACCCTCAAGGGTAAAATTGCTGTCTGAAGAAATGGAAAATGGGAAATCTCAGTCTGAGGGGCTTCAACAAGCTGAGAGGAAGGGGCGGAGGACAACTTGTGCAACATATAATAGTAAAGAAAAAGACCAACAGAAGAAGGAGTTTAAGGAATCTTCACATGTATTGGCTTCTGAGCCGGCGGGAGAGTCAGGATTTATAATTTCGGAGCAACCTTTAAGGGCAGATCTCAAAGCATTTCTTTCGAGCCTTATGGATAAGAGAGACTGATAAGGATGGAGATCGAATGAAAATTTTATATGGACAATCGAGACTGATAAGGACTGTGTTTTTTGTGGATGGAACTTACTATTGGTAAAGATTTAAATGTTTAATGTGTCTATTGTGGATGGAATTTATTATTGGTAAAGATTTAAATGTGTATAAGGGAATTTTAATGTTTTAGGTTTTAAGTAATGTTTAAAGTTGTGTTTTGGAGGGAGTTTATAAAGAATGTTGGATAATAATATAAGTATGATATGAAAAGGTTTGGAGTATACTATAATGTGTTCAATGTTTGGGTTTTTTTTAATTATTATTATTATTTTTAAGATGGAATTTGTTATTGGTAAGATTTTAATGCGTATAAGGGGATTTTAATGTTTTAAGTTTTAAGTAATGTTTAAATTTGTGCTTTGGAGGGAGTATAATTTGTTTAATTAAATGTATTCAGATTTGCCTATGATTTATATTGGATTTTATATTGTAGGTATAGATGTTTAAACAAAGTAATGTTTAAATTTGTGTTTTGGAGGGAGTTTATATAGAATGATGGATAACATTATAAGCATATTAGAAAATGTTTAGAGTATTTAATTTAAGCTATCCAGATTTGTTTAGGATTTATATGTGTTTCAAGTTTTTCTTTTCTTTTTCTGGAAAATTTTAATTAAGCCTGTACTCAACTCTGGGAAGGTTGGGGGAGGGTTTGGGAGGTTTGGGGAAGTGGGGGAGCGTAAGGGAGGTTGGGGGGGTTCTGGGGAGGGGATTTGTTTTGTAAAATTTAAAACAATTTTCAATAAAAAAAAAAGAAGACAGAACTCTTGGAATAATTCTTCCAACAGGCACCCTTTATTAAGAGAAAATGGTTGCAGGCATTCTAGACAGGACTTGGGGTCCAAGCTGTCCCATTCAAGGTTTTAAGGGGTTTCCCAGTAGCCCCACCCAGTCACCCCCCTCTTCCAGCGACAGTCTCAGGCATTACATTCCCACCCCCTTTTTCTTACTGCCGGCTTGATGGAGACTTCAAAGAAAACTACATGAAAGGTAATAGTCCCATTCTTATAGTTAGCTCTTTTGGCAATACATACAACCAGTTCCTTTGAAGTGTACTGAAGGAAGTGAGGGCCATAAAGCCCCTTTGTTCACCCCCTTCCCTTCACCGTATGGCAGAATCCAGAGAAGGCAGAAATGGGGTTTTTTATAATTGATAACTAGAGATGAATTATAATTGGATTCTGACATCTTGATTGCAATCCTTAAAACAGGTGGACTTTTCCCAGGATCATGCATCAGGTCACACTTGATTCCTAGAAAAGATGCATTTGAATTTAGGAGTTGCAGACAGATGTTAATGTTTATCTTTTTGCCTTCAAATTAAACTGTTCTAAGAGTCTTTGCTGATGAAGCAGTTGTTGCTTTGTACCAAAACAGATTCTTTGGTCACTAATGAAAAAGATGGAAAATGCCATGCTTTTCAAAACAAATTGCACCCTATTTTTCCGCAAAACATCTAATAAGAAACTGCAATGTCTATTTTGAATATCTTTTTTTCTTTTTTCTTTCCTTTCCTTTTCAACTAAGTATCAGACAAACACTTCCAGTACCTTATGTAGATGAGAGAGTGAATAAAATGTTGTTGACATTCTGATTCTATTTCACTCTAAAACTCCCTCCTGGAATTACTAATGTGCAAACATTCCAAGATTGAAATGTTCTGAGTTCAGAACAGCTGTTCTGTGTTCTGAATGCTGAAAAAATTTCCCTATATTTCAGAGAGAACATGATATAGTTCAGTCTATAAACTGTGATTTGTCCAAGTTAATCCATTGAGGAACTACTGAAGTATTACACTTACGGTACATCTGAACAATATCCAGATGTAGCCCCCCAACAACTGGAGGGCTTTAGGTTAGGTCAGATTATTGTTTGCCTTCAATTTAGAATTAACCAATATTTATTAATGGTCCATTAATCACTCTCTCTGTCTATCTATCTATCTATCTATCTATCTATCTATCTATCTATCTATCTATCTATCTATCTATCTATCTATCTAATTATCTATGTCTATCTAATCTATAAAATTTATTGACCACCCATCTTACCATAGGGTAATTGCAGTTAAATATATAGTTAAAACATAAAAAGATATTAAAACCAAAACACATGGGGAGGGCAGGGGCGGACTGTGGTGAGATGGGATCAGTGGTGGAATTCAAATACCTGAACAACTGGTTCTCTTATTTGATGCAGGCCTGGGTCTCCAAGGCCTAGAATGGACTTCCGGAAGTGGCATCTGTGTACTTCCGGTGGGCCATTCTAGTCCTGGGAGGCCTTCTCCAAGCTTCCAAGGTCTACAACAGACTTCCAGAAGTGGCATCCATGCACTTCCGGTAGGCCATTCTAGGCCCTCCTCCTGGACCCCATCAGCCAGAATAATCAGAGTGAGGTGGCATGCAGCATACGTCCTTTGCTGGCACGAGTGGCATGGGTCAATCCCAGTGGGGTGAGATGGTTTTTCAAGTAACCTGGACCTATGCCATGAAGGGCTTTAAAGGTGATCATCAATACCTTGAATTGCACCAGGAAGCTGGCAACCAATTAAGCTTGTGGAGCAGTGGTGTTATAGGGACCAATCTAAGGACCCCCAAAACTACCCATGCTGCCACACTGTGTACAAGCTGTAGCTTCCAAATGCTCAGGTAGCCCCATGTAGAGTGAATTATAATAGTCCAGCCATGAAATGAATGGGGACTGAATGACTGAGTGCAAGGAGTCCTGACCCAGGAAAGACCACAACTGGTGCACAACATGAAGTTGTGCAAAGACTCTCCTAACCACAACTGCCACCTGTTCCACAATAAATGCCTCCTCCATAGAATATGCAGATCTGAGGTTACTTGAAATTGTGGTGTGATAATAGAGGGGTCTTACCTGTTCCTTCCACTTCTTAAGTTCAGCAACTTTCTTTGCTCTCAAACTTTCATAAATGTTATTAGCAGCCCATGAGTCAGATTTATCTTGATCAGCTGAAAACACCAAGTGATCTGATGTTATTTCACCACCCTCAGTGGGCATATCTTCTGGTTCCACAGATTCTAAAAGGTGAAATCAGGAAATAGTGTATTGTATGATAGCTCAGCTAGAACATAGCTTTATTGGAAATGAATTAAGGTTGTCAAATAGCAATGTTTAATGGGCCATCAGAACCTATCATCTCTGTTGTGTTCATTAATACCATAGATCTAGGGAAATATAGCGATTACATTAAATAATAATGATAACCACTATTATTAGAAGATTGCACAGGCTAACTACAAACAGTAGCAAGACAGAGTAGCAATAATGGTGCATTGGAAAATTTGCAAAAAATACCATTTGTTTGAAAGCAAGAACTGGTGAGACCATAAAATAGAGTAATAAAAATGAAGATGCTAAAGTGCTCTGGGACTTTGGAATTCAAACAGATAAGCATCTGCCACATGACATGCCAGATTTAATAATTTTCAATAAGAAAGACAAAAAAGTCTGGATGGTGAATGTGGCAGCAGCTGGAGACAACAGAATAGAAGAAAAGGAGCTGGAGAAGACAACAAAATACAAAGACCTGCAAATATAAATAGAACAACTATGGCAAAAGAAAGCAAAAGTAGTACCAATAGTGCTTGGTACAAAGTCAAAACATCTGGAGCACTACTCAAACACAATTGGCATTGACAAATTCATCATCAATCAATAGCAATTTTACTTTACTTAATCTTACCTTATCTTACCTTACCTTATCTTACTTTACTTTATTTTACTTCAAACAGCTTACATCTTGTGAGAAAATCTCTAACACCACAAAATATCAACATTTGCAGACAATGTGGATAACAACAGGCCTGCCAAGGGCTGTAAAAAACTAGGTCTTAAGAACAAATGTACACAAAGCCAGAACTGGGGAGACAACAACAGAAAGCAAATAATGCCTCTACAAAGAAGCTGAAAAAACAGCATTTGGTTAGCTGCTGCAAGAAGATTGTACAAAATTGCCTACAAACAACAAAGTAGCAACAAGAGTGCATTGGAAGATCTGCAAGAAATACCATTTATCAGCAAGAAAAAACTGGATGGGACCATAAAATAGAGAACATAATAGAAAATGAACCAGCTAAAGTGCTGGTGCAAAAAATGAGTTAAGCACCTCTGCTTTCTCTCTACTTCCTGTAACTTCCTTGCCGACTTCTCTCTTTAGTAGACCATTGTTTTCTTGACTTTTTTGTTATTTATATTTTTGTGTATTTAAACAAACAGGCACCTACCACATACATTCCAATTTAGCAACTGTGGCAGTGGATGTGGCAGCAGTAGAGAAGAGCAATTGGAAAAAATCAGAAAATAAGGCGTCTGACGAGACGGGTGGAAAAAGCCGGGGCTCTGGCTTCTCAGCCTGATTTTGCTTTGCCCGGCGACCCTAAAGGTTGGAAAGTTGCCCTGAAGGGGCAATGAAGAAGGAGGGATACTTCAGGAGCCCCGACCAGACGGTGGTCAGTCTAAGCAGACTGAAGAAACCCTCAGAAAGGACGGAGGAAAGGCTGCCGGGTGAGCCAGGCAGCCCAAGTTGTTGCCAGCCAGAAGGAAAGCAAGGAGCCACGGTGCTCTACCAATAGCTGATTGTCAACAGCGTGCTGAAACTGGGTGAGCCAGTGCTTTTTCCTTTTTATTTTGGACTAAAAACGTTGAGCCCCTGACTGGAAAGAACTACAAAGTAAAGACCCCAGAAGGATTAAGATCTAAAGGTGGCGAGCAATTACAAAAGGGGAAGATATTTAAGGAATATTTAAAAACTTTTATAAATTGAATTCAGATTGATTCAAAGAAGGACTACTTAATCTACAAGAGGTGGAAAAGTTTTCTAGCTATAACCTCAAGGGTAAATAATCTATAAAGAACTTTAAAAGAAAAACTTTGTAAGAATTTTTAAAAATCAGACATTGATAAAATAGTGCATGAGGACATCTAATAGCGAAAGAAGAAATTATAGTATTATTAAATACTAAAAGAATCTGAAAATATTTGACCCTGAGTCAACACCTGGTGTAAACCAAGTGCCATGGTGGGAGTCTATAATGGAAAAGACTTCTCATAACTATATTTGTTGATTCTGGATATAACTAAAACAGGAACTATATGAAGATAGTGAACATTTTACATCTGAGACCTGACTGGAGTAATTGGATTTGGCCTAAAGTAGTTGGCTCATTCTTTTTCGTTGGATTGTAGCTTAAGCTAGTTCGCTTTCTTTTTTCTTTCTGCCTACTCTATTTTGTCTTTTTCCTTGTGATACTGGATTTAGCCTAAAGTAGTTGGCTCCTTTTACACTTTGGATTTTAACCTAAGACTGTTGGCTGAAAAATGAGTACATCAAACATCACCAGACTTATGAAGAAGAGTTCCTCTGCACCCTCTTTTGGAACACTTAGCCCAACAACCCAGGGATCTATTGAAACAATGTTGCAGCATGAGAAAATAAGCACTGCCCAAAATGAAATGCATTGATTCAATGCAATTCAATCAAGAGTCAATGCAAAAAAATAATGAAGAGACAAAAAGCAATTGTAAGGACCCACCCCACTTTGCATCTTAGCAAGACAGAACTCTTGGAATAATTCTTCCAACAGGCATCCTTTATTAAGAGAAAATGGTTGCAGGCGTTCTAGACAGGACTTGGAGTCCAAGCTCTCCCATTCAAGGTTTTAAGGGGTTCCCCAGTAGCCCCACCCAGTCACCCCCTTCTTCCAGCGACAGTCTCAGGCATTACACTCCCACCCCCTTTTCCTTATTGCCGTCTGGATGGAGACTTCAGAGAGAACTACATGAAAGGTAATAGCCCCATTCTTATGGTTAGTCCTTTTGGCGATTTCCACATTCAGTCTCTTTGAAGTGTACTGAAGGAAGTGAGGGCCATAAAGCCCCTTTGTTCACCCCATTCCCTTCACTGTATGGCAGAATCCAGGGAAGGCAGAAATGAGGTTTTCTATAGTTGATAACTAGAGATGAAATATAATTGGATTCTGACATCCTGCCCCCTTAAAAAAAAGACAGATCCACCTGAAAGAAAACAAAACAGGTATAAAAGTTAGTCAGGCTTGTTAGAATATTCTGTGTGAAACTTCTTTAATAGCTTCGGGGCTCTGACATGACGTTTATGGACCCACTTGTTTTGTGAGGCAGGAAGGTGTTTCCAGGCAATTAGGTACTGAGTCTCCTAGAGTCAAGGATTTCCTTTATATCGAAATATTGTTCGCCCTCCACCATGATTGGAGGTGGGGGAGATTTTTGGCCATAAAAGTGACTGATGCTCTCTTTTCAGCAAGCTGCAATGAAAAATTGGATATATTTGCCTGAGATTTTTTGGTAGTTCTAATTCTACTGTTACTGGGTTTATGATTCTTTTAATTGGAAAAGGCCCTATATATTTTGGTCCAAGTTTTTTACAGGGCTGTAGGGACTTTAGGTATTTTGTAGATAAGTAACCATTTCTCCTATAATGAATGGTGTAGGCTCAACCCTTTTTTTATCGGCTTGTGCTTTGTATGCCTGCCTAGCTTCATCTAGTGCTTTTCTAACTATTGGCCAGGTGTCTTGTAATTGTTCCATCCATTCTTTCAGTGATGGGATCACCAGTTCCTGTGGGGTTAATTCTGGCATGGGGTTGAAACTTTGACCGGTGGCTATTTGAAAAGGAGTGTAACCTGTGCTGGAGTGGACTGCATTATTGTAAGCAACTTCTGCAAAAGGGAGTAGGTCCATCCAATTTGTTTGCTGAAAATTAATAAAACATCTTAAATATTGCTCAAGTACTGAATGACAACATTCTGTTTGTCCATCCCCTTGTGGATGATGGCTAGATGTCAGTCCCTGAGCGGTCCCTAAGAGGGATAAAAATTCCTTCCAAAATGCAGGTGTAAATTGCACTCCCCTATCAGATATGATGCGTTGGGGTGCCCCGTGCAATCTGTAAATGTGCTGGATGAAAAGTTTTGCTAAGGCTTTTGCAGTGGGAATCTTTTGGCAAGGGATAAAGTGCACTTGTTTGGAAAACAAGTCCGTGTCCATCCAGACAACAGTATTCCCATTGCTTTCTGGCAATTCCACTATAAAATCCATGGCTATTTCCCTCCAGAGGGCTGAGGGATTTGCCACTGGTTGTAATAGTCCTGGCAATTTCCCTTGTAACCTCTTTGCAGTAGCACATTTTGGGCAGCTGGCTACATAACATTCTATGTTCTTTTTCATGGATGGCCACCAAAATTGCCGTTTAATTAAGTGTAAAGTTTTTACAAATCCAAAATGCCCTGCTGATTTTGTGTCACGGCAAAGCTGCATGCAAGTGACTCTTTGGGTTGTTGGTATATATAACTTTTCCCCTACCCAAGGCAACCGGTCTCTCATTGTGCACACATTTTTGTTTTTCTGTTTCCAAACTTTTCCGGAATTCAATTCCAGTTTGGCTGTCCAGTTGTGATTTTAATTTAGCTTGGGTTCTTGTGGTTACTGGTGCTGCCAGTTGTGACTCTGCCATCATTGGTTTAGAGTCTGTGGCTCATGCGCTGTTATATTGGGGCATGGAAGGGGATTTTGTTGCCTTCCAGGAACTGTCGCCACGTGAGTAATGCCCAACGTATCCCGTATGCCTTCTTCTCCCGTACGGGCCAGGGCTGTTCTGTTTCCATGAGTTTCTTGGATGTATATGCACAGGGTTGCCATACTCCATCATCATTTTCTTGTAATAGAACAGCCCCCACTGCCAATCACTTGCATTTGCCTGTATACAAAGGGCTTATCCGTGTCTGGGTGCCTTAGTACTGATTCGGCAGAGAAAAGTCTCTTTAGTCTCTCAAACGCTGGTTGGCACTCCATTGTCCATGTTAGTGGCTGGCTAGGTTTTACTGAGGATTCTCCCTTCATTTTTAGTAAGTTAGTGAGGGGCAAGGCTATCTGCACAAATGAGGGGATGAATTGGTGGTAAAGGTTTGCAAAGCCCAGGAAACTTTGTAGTTGCTTTCTTGTGCGGGGTGATGCCCAATCTCATACTGCTCTGACCTTCTCTGGG